TAAAAACTGTTTTAGTTCTAGTTTATTTATAGAACCCTTGATCACAAGGTTTAGGATCGTTCTGCAACGCTGGAATAGCGCTTTTAGTATTTATGTATCTTACTTATGCTTGAGATAATCTTACCCGCTAATCTCTAACGGCATAACAACATTCTAGGGTACCAAATTGAAAAAAACTGTTAAAAAAATCTACTTCCCTTTTTGTTTCTTTTATATCCCACGGTAGAAGACACATAAGAGTTTTTGGATCGATGTTTGGTATATCATTGTGGCTTTTTAGTGATGTTGGTAAAAAAATTTTTTCTACTTGATAAGTAATGGATTTCATCTTACAAGTAGAAAGTGTCTAAACTTCTTGTCTAATATTGAGTGTTTCATCAGGTTTTTGATTAAGTAAAACACTATTGTAATGTACATGGTGGTTATAGTTCGATGTGCGTAACTATGTAAATTTGGAAGTATGTGCATTTCCTTGATGTTTTTCTTATTATCTTATTGTTCAATAACTACATGTGAAGGATGATCTATGTTGACTTTGTCTTTATTGTTATTTTAGAGTTGGGGTGTATCGTTAAGCCTGGAAAGAAAATAGTATCAAATTACTATTGATTTATGAGTCCATTTCCAATACTTTAGACGTATGACGTGAGAGTATCAAACTCCGTGTCTTCATTATAGGTCTAGTTTTGGATGATTTAGATATTTTTTGTTTTTCATCAACTTTTGACATAAAATTGTATAGTTACTCAGGGTTCTATGTTCAGTGGATTGATGGTGCATTTTATAAATTTCCTTAAGACACTACGTTTTATAGTCTTCTTAAAACAACTGTATGTTTTGCTGATGAGTATTGCTATCATAAATATAAAAATCCTAGCTTTAATGACATTACGTATTGAAATTTAAAAAAAATGTTTGGTCCTCCTCCAACATTGAGGTACGCGTTTTCTCCATTTAAGTTATTATATTTTTTTCATTTAATTCTAAATCTGTCGATACTTGTTTATGAAAGTTGAGTTCTCAAATTGATTTTATAGTTATATGGAAGGCATTAGTGTCTTTTAAGGATTCATGTTATACAGTTATGTTCAACTTCACTTCTACTTGATAGGTATATTGAATCTGAGTGATAATCTTATGTTCACTAGCTAAGATTAGTTTGTGTGTTTCCTGTATACTCATTATCTTTTTGTAAAAAAGCTATACCTTATAGTCTCTCTAAGTTATCCATTTTATAAGGGCAGATTTTATAAGGGCAAGTTCTTTTAACGATTTTATAGCAGAGCATATATAACCATCTACTCTTCTATCACATAGATTGAATGTAACTTTGTTTCATCGTAAATACAAATTATGGTCTGCTGCTACTACTGCTAAGTAAGGATACCATGGTTTTATGTAGTATCTTTGGCCGCGGTTATACTGATCATGAGAACCGTTCCCATCGTCCTTCTGGCGCAGGAGCGCAGAGCCAGATTTTTGGCTGCTGGGACAACATCATACAGGAAGAGAGAGTGCAACGCTGGCAGCAAGGAAAAGCATTAAGCATTTAGTGGTGCTTGCATAGGCTGCAGCCCACAAAGAAGAAGGACTTAGTGGATACGGGTGGTCTAATAAAAACATCCACCAAGTCCCACCCTACCGCTGTCCCTGCAGTGTATCTCAATACATTTTCCCTCCCATCACTAAAAAAAAAACACCAGATGTGGGTCTTGGGACCTCTGGCAGTAGTGGACCTTCCAACTCGTATGTTAAACTTAAAATAATAGGTAACGATACTAAACTTAAAATAATAGGAACTAAGCAAACTGAGAAAATCAAAGTATATCTAATTCCAATAGGTCTTCAAGAATCAGATATTAAAATAGTGAAAATTTTAATATCATTACGTATTCGTATTCGAGTACCCGCGTTTATATATACAGGCTAATATTGAGTTGAAATATTGTTTACTGAAATATTGAGTAGAAATGTTGTTTGGGAAGGAATTTTCGATTAAAATGAAGTACACTTTTTGAGAAGGAAAATAAATTAACGAATAGAAAGTCATCACATAAATTAAAATAACATCATTCAGTAGTAGCATATGACATGATATTATTATATTTCATTATGTTACAATTTTTTTAAAAATCATTGAAGTTGAAGTTTTAATTCAGGATAACTATTAATAACATTTACCTAAATAAGATCATTCTTTTAATGTTCTGAAGCAAAACTGGTTTATTTTTGTGTTTACTTCGAATGGGTTCTGAAAAACAATAATTCAAAAGAGTCAAATCTTAAGATTCTGTACTAAAAATTTTATGAAAATGAGAGTTATGTATAAAATAATCAGTTCTACGAATTATATAGTTGTTTCTGAATTCGTATACATAAAAAGTAATAGGTTTGAAACAGACGGGTTTTGAAAGAAAAAAAAATGACAAGTAATTGCATAGAAGTATAAATAATTTATGATTGAATTGCTGTATCTATTGATGATTATTTTTTTCCTTCAAATCGGGCATCAGGGAGTTCTGTCTCTTTGTGGTTTTGTAAGACTACTGGCGATGACCACCACGGTTTCTATTATTTTTTTATTATTCGAGTTTCAATAAATCTGTGTGATCATATCATATCATGTCATACGATTACACGTATTTATTTGAAACTCAATGTAACAAGCAAAAAAAGGTCAACGTGCCTCAAATTTTATACTCATAAATATTTATATAAAGTAATATATATATTCGATGTTTTTCGTACTCGCTGTTGATAAGTATACAATTTATCTATTTGCCTCCTCGGTGGTACGTAACGTTGGATTTTATCGATTTTTTAAGGTTATAACATTAAAAATTATACACGGGTAGGTGTACGTGTGTATGCACACGTATATAATTGATTATGTGGCAGGATTTTCTTAACTGATTATCTTAAGCCTTGTTCTACATTTTCTATTACTCGATTGGAATTGAAAAAAATTTAGATTTAATCAATGACAGCTTTTAACATGGTTGAGTCTGCTTATTAAGGTTCACGAACATCGCTAAAAAGTTATTTATAGTTTAGTTATTAAAAATAATTAGAAATTGACGTTATAATGTGCAGAAATTGTCAAAACATATATGTACTTCATTTTTTTAAGGCTGTTGCCATAAGATAGATTCAGTTTGTTCTTATGCGTGGGTATCAAAATTTGGTACACCTATTATTTGTAAAGTTTATTGTAGTCAATTATTTATTTGTTTGGTTCAAAAGCATTGCTGAAGTTTGAAAAATTTTGATTTTTTTTTATTCTGCGAAAAAATGTTTGCATGTTTTTAAATATTGAAAACTATGTTTGTAACAGTGCTTGAGACACCAATAAGTTTTTTTGTAAAAATATATTATTTGGTTGAGAGCAATTGCATTTGTTCATAAAAAAAAATCAAATATTTAACGATACTTTGTTTTTTGCAGTCGACAAAAAGTGAATAATTCATCATGTGTAAGAGTTTTTTTGACTTAGATTTATTGAGTGACATGGAATACTTTATTGTCTTTGTAAAAGTTGGATACTGTTTAATCAAGCGAACATATGTAAAATAAGAAATTTAACAGGATGATGAGAAAGCTTTGTGCCGAAAAATCGACAGGGGTTTAATCTCAAAACTACACTTAAATTAGGATAGTATAAAACTTTTTGTTCAAATCAACTAAGCACTCATCAAAGTCGTATTAATATTATAAAGTATTTTTTAATTTTGATACACATTAGCTTCAATAAGTTAACAGAGTTTATTTGCACCTACTACTTCTTCATAAGATTATTTAATTTGCTTCACCTATATAAGATTAATCTAAACAAGTAGTATCGTTTGGAAAAGTAAAAAAGTCTCTGTATAAACTACTTTAAAATAAGTATAAATCGTACATTACGTCACTAGTTCACAAAGTACAAACATGAGTGCCCGAAGGGCGTGCTTATTGTCGGTTGGTGCCCGAGACGCGTATAATGTTTTTCTTACCGAGGGCGCAAAGTTCAATTTTGCGCTGGTGGGTACACTTTGCGCCCAGTAAATCACTTTGGGCCTGGAGGGGGCAAAAAGCTCTTCTGCCCGTGGTCCCAAAGTAATTACGAGGTCGCAAAGTGTGACCCGAGGGTGCAAAGTGGCAGTTGCACTTTGTGCCCATGGTAAGAAAAGATCAGATAAGTTTGATGTGTTAAATTGAAAATTTTCCAGTTAACTGTCAGTCTATCAAAGTTGTAAAATGAAATTTTATGAAAACTGAAGTTTGGGTTTTTTTTAAGCAGCACACTTTTTTCTTTACAATTAATAGTATTATAATGTTTAGTTACAGTTATATACCAAAGCCAGACCGAGTCATTTTTATTTTGGATTAGTAAAATATGTGACCTCTTTATTATATACATGAACGTCATCTTATATGTTAAGTATATAAAAATGTTAAAGCAGTAGATTAATATAATTGATATGATATTCATATACACCACTAGTCGAACGTCAAAATTAATATCATTTCACTGATTTAAATTCTATGAGTTACATAGGAAATACACGAAGCACAAAAAATACGAGCACTTGATAATTTCTAGAACTTAATTACTCGACTTTGCTTCATTATGCTTTTTTAAAAAATTTCTTTTATCAACATATTAAACTTACCTAATCCTATTTATTTATTAAAAGGTAATTTTCACCGAGCTACATTGGACCTAAAACTTGAAAAACTATTAATTTTTTTAGGTTTCAACGAGTTTATTCTTAATAAAATTAAGAAATGTTAAATTTGATGAACATTTTTAAGGTGTGTGGAGTAAAAACTTGGCTGCAACTGTTAAAACAATTCGTAAAGTTAAATTTAAACTTTAAAGTTCTGCCTTATAAGTTAGACATTAACAATTCAACAGTTCTTAATGCATACTCTGAATAACTAAAAAAAAGTCAATCACAAAATAAAAAAATTTGCAATAATTTGATCCACTAATTAATCATTTTCAGTAATCTCTTCAGTGGTTTCTGCTTCAAAGTTCATTGGTTGTATTACTGTTACCTTTATGAGTGATTAACATTTCGAACTATGAAGATCAGAGAACTTGATATGAAATTACAGACATTATCAACGTTTGAAAAACCAAAAATCAATTTGGAACAGTATTCCACTAGTTCACACATAGCTTCAAGAATGTTATATGTAGCTCAAACTCAGTTTTGTGATATTGAAAATCAGTGTGTTGCTGATTTAGGAACTGGCTGCGGAATTTTATCATTAGGAGCCTCTCTCTTGGGAGCTGCATACGTCATGGGATTCGATATCGACGAAAGTGCAATAAAAATTTGGCATAAGAATCGTCAGAAATTGAAAATGCCCATAGAATCTGTTTGCTGTGATATAATGTCTTTCTTACCAGGTATGCTACATGTACAATGAAAATTATATGTAACTGTAAGAATTAATAAAAATAAATGTTTATTGTTCAAATTGTTCATTCAGAAAAATAGAGATATTTATTAAAACGATAGTAGTAATGAAAAAAAGATTGCTATGTAAGCTATCCTCTCTATGCAAGCAAATCTGATCACAAAATCCCTTAACGCAAAGAGTGTAAGCTCTTGTTCTAACAATAAGACTTTTTTTTATATCGAATAAAATTATGTTTTTTAAATAAGAACCTAAGCCTAGAATGATCAGTTGCACTTATTTTTCATATTGTAATCAGCGTTTGGAGCGAATATTACTACAAACAAAATATTTATCAGGTAGTTGGAGTGCAACGATAGAAAATTTTCGTTGGATAATCACAGCAAATATACTATTGTCTTAAACAATAACCGTGGCTTTTTTTGGAAGAAAAATCGACCTAAAAAAAAAAATTATGACTCTGGTTCACTAGAAGTTGTCAATTATAGTGATGCCTGTGCTCTATAAGTGTTTGTTGACTACTGAATAAAAATACTGCATGGGGTAGTAAACTTAAAGTCAGAGTTCCTATATCTATATCCTATTTTGCCATAATACACATTTTGCAGCATTTATTTTGATATTATGTGACTGCATATATAATTTACATATATGACAATATCAATTCAATCAACATCTAATAATTTTTCGCGCAGTGCATCAAGGTAACAAGACATGGCATAATTAATTACACCTATAGCTCTCACTCAAAATTTCTGTGAGAACACACAATACTTTTTGAACTTGAGCTTTGTTTTAAAACATTCTTTTAGTTATTAATAGATAAATTACTATCGTGCACGTAGAAAAAATAAACTAGACGAGTAGAATAAACTAAAAACTTTTTGTTAATTTTAATAGGAAAACTGCTTGGAAGAACACATATTTTAAACTAATTGTTTTGAAAAAGACCAGTTTCTTTTATGATACACACAAATTATGATTCTAACATGAATTCAAAAAAAGATATACGAGATGTTTTTAAATTTTGTGGGCAATATACATTTGATCATTAATTTTTTTTGTATTGATACATTCGTCACGAACATATGTTCACAGTTTAAACTATACTGTATGTTAAGTTTGTTTGTGAGAGGCATAATGGTTAGGCGTATTTTGCATGCTAGGCGACTTTTTACTGTCAAAAAAATGGATCAAAGAATTTTCATCTAATTTTGTGTGAAATGAAATTAAGCGCTCCAAAACACTTTAAATGTTAAGAGTTTCATATGGTAAAACTATTCTGAACAAACAAAATTTTTCCAAGTGGTACAAACTCTTCCAAGATGTCCGGGAAAATGCCAATGACAAGCATCGCTTTGGACACCCAGTCACATTAACAACTGATAAAAACGTTCAAGCTGTGGCGAAAGTTTTCTTTAAAATCGTTGAATTATTATCAGAAAAATCGCTTAGGATGTTGGCATATTAATTGGCTTGTGCCATGAAATTTTTTCGAACTTTTTGGACATGTGTGTCAGCAACGTTTGTTCCAAAACTGTTAAATTTCGGTCAAAAAAACCATCGGATGATCATCGTTTAAGAGCTGTTAAACGTTAATGATGATTCTGGTTTGCCCAAAACGCTTATACTGGGTGATGAATTATATGATTTATCAGTATATGGTTATGATATTTATACCCAATCCCAATTTCTCCAATAGAAGAGCCCAGGTTAGTCAATACCAAAAAAAGATGCCAAGTTCGATCAAATGTCAAAGTATGCTTACTGTTTTCTTTGATTACCGTGGTGTAAACCACTCCCATGAGCATCAGGAATTCTTAGCGTATGGCCGTGCGGTCAACAAAGAGTATTATCTTGAAGTTATGTGCTGCTGGCGAGAAGAAATTTTAGGGACACGTCTGGAGTTGTGAAAAACAATTAATGGCATCTGCATCACGATAATGCCACTGCTCCCTTATCCTTGTTTGTAAGAGATTTTTGGTAAAAAAAGATACCACAATTACACCTCAGCCATGATATTTACTGGATTTGCCTCTCTGATTTCTTTTTGTTTCCAAAACTGAAAGACCTATGGAAGAGTGGAGATTTGCAATGATTGAGGAGATCAAGACTTCATCGCTGGAAGAGCCTTAGGCTATACCAAAATATGTTTATGAGAAGTACTTCGAGGATCTAAAAAAGCGTTGGCACAAGTGTATGCTATCTAAGGGAGATTACTTTGAAGTGGAGAACATAAATATTGATGAATAAATAAGTTTTTTTTTTTTTTTTAAACAAGTCATCTTAATTTTTGAATTCACCTCATACATGCACTTAACACCTATGTTCCACTGCTAAATAAACTTTAAAATGCAGTAAGTTTACTGATAGTAGTTAACATAAACACGTTTTGAAATTAGTTTCTATGTTAGCTGATCATGCAACCGTTACCGTGACATCTATGACTTGTATGGTGTTTACCATGGAGAAATGATCTTATTAAAGAATATCTGCTTCTTGAGGTACTTATTCTATTTTTTACTACAAATGTATACAATTTGTGTATAAACAATGATCGTCTCAGTGTGCTTTAAACTATTTCTCATTTTTTTTATCTATTCTGATAAAGCTGGCACATCGAACAAGCGAACTATAGCGTAAAATTGCTCATAACAACGGAACAAAAGAAAATCTTACTATTTTGAGTAATTATTTATAGTTTAGCCACCTATGGATCGCTCGATTAGTTTAGCAACAAAAATAATGTTTATTGTGTAGGGTCAGAAAAAATTGACCAAAATTATTAAAAAAATAATCTGTGGTTTTAAAATATTTTCTTTAACTTTAGTAAAACATATAAATTTTTTTAACCTTTCTTTTTCTTGTTGTAGTAAGGTTCACGTTCTGATCCAGTTCTAGTTAATACATATTTAAAGCACGCATATCTGAGATACTTGACCTCAGATAGGGTGATATTTATCTTCTGAGCTTTTTCCTGGTCTTATTTTGTGTGTTCCGATTTGAGAAGATGCTCAATTCAGTAAGTTGTGTATTTTCAAGGGCCTAGTTAGTAACATTCAAACGCCAGACCTTTTAATGCATGTCATCTAAACGAGACTAAAATTTTTTTACAGTTTTTGTGTATCGAGGTAGTTTTTATTTAGGTTTGATACAGAATTACGTTTTATTGATGACGATAGTTCAAAATGTTACTTTGACGCCTGCTGTAAGCAACAGTATCACGTTCTCAGCTGGTGTTTTTGGATTTCCCAAATAATAAACTTTGGCTGTTATGGCTGCTTAGACGAACAGTGCTGCTACATACAAGTTAAATTAGTAAGTTATAAGGCAGTATTAACTATAAGGGGCAAAGCAACAGTATATGTTAGTTTGAGGACACTAAAAATAATTTTGTACTATGAGAACACCAGAGTTTAAACTCTAAGAATTTAAAAGTACCCTGGGTTATTAGTACTCTAGAGAACAAAACAGTTCAAAATTTTACAAACCAAGCATTGTTTATTCCAGAGTCGAACGTTTGAATGTGCTCATATTGTTTGTCACTGCGGTGTGGTAGACTGTAAGAGCCTGAGGAGTAGGGTGCCATGCCACAGCTTTTTCGTTTGTAATGTTAGACACTGATCGCTAAAGCAAAGCTCACCGCAACTTGCAGTTCCTTGTATGTATACATATATACACGTGTACGAAAACATATACCTATCAAATCGCCCACAGTTAGGTGTTAATAAAATAATTCGATGAAATTTCTGAACAAATATACACATAACGAATTTTACGAGCAGTTCAGGCAAAAGCACCGTAGAACAGAAACTTGAATATTATATCTTATTGCACGGTAAAAATTTTTGAAAATTTCGACCATCAGACACAGATTGATTTTGAGTAAAATTTTTGCATCGTACGTTGCTATTGATTTTTTATTAACTGTAACCTTAAATTCAAAAGTGTGGTATCAAAAACTTATATTATTGCATGCACAAGAAATACGTCACTTTGTTTTATAAATTTTTCTTATCAAGCAAAAACGTACTTCTTTATTATCAAAATGACAAACTGCTGCGGTATCGGGTATATTGCATTTGTGGTTTATTCGTTAAAGGTACAGTAAGTTGCGGTACGCTGAGCTGTAGCAATTAGTGTCTAATAGTACAAACGATTGAGCTGTGGCGCCATACTCCTTAGGCTGTCATAGCCTTCCGCAGTTCCGAACCGTATCGACACAAACATTAGATCTTATGAAAAGCAATGCTTTATTCGTAACAGCTCAAGCTGTTTCGTATTCGAAGACTTCGATTTTTTGAGAGCTGTCAGAGTCCAGTACCCATTGGGTCTGTATAAGTTCAAAGTGTTTTTTCTTGTAGTAGATGATGTTTGACAACGTGTCTTGATGCACTTTTTATTTCGAGTTGCATATTTTTTAAATTCAAAATAAAATATATGTTCTATTAAAACCTTAACATTTTGACGTTATTAGGTATCAATAACGCTGAGCTACAACTTGTATTAATAATTGTGAAAAAAAACTCTTTTAAAGTATTTTTCTAAGGTATGGAATGTCAATGTATGCTCATTTTAAGATTTCTAATTTTACTCCCGAAAAGTTGCACAGACTCCTCAATTAACCGCCAGTCAATGTAATTAAATCGCGTATATTCACTATGCGCCTATGTCAGGTAGCGCCGTTGAGTGAGAAAAATTATCCCTTGCTAATATCACCAGAATGCACGGAGCCTTATAAGAAAATTTCTTAATAAATTAAAAAAAAGGTTATTAAGAGTGAATTTACCTAAATCAGTGATTTAAGTGTGTATTATATTAGTGTGCAGTAATAAATTTTGTTTGATGTACTCATGTGTACTACAATAGCAGAAAAAATAAACACGTGGATTGTGACTGTAATAACACACCATATCTGTATCAGCTTGATGAGCTGACTTCTGTATTACTTAATGGAATAAGTTAGCTCTATTCTCCATTAATAAAATG